ACTGTGTGATGGCGAAAAAGACAAATGAACGGGACAGTGCTCACAAAGTTTTAGACATCTTGTTGAATCGTTTCGGCTCGGGTGTACAGGGGCATCAGGCCATGGTGAACTTTGAGAAGAGGCGTCAAAGAGATAATGATTCAATCGACAAGTTTTTTTTTGGACGGCCTTGAGCTGCTTCCAAGGAGAAGTAATACCGATGAGAGAATCTCGGAACGGAATTTGGCCATAGCCTCAAAATTCATGGATGGAGTAAAGAGTGACGAACTGAAAACCATGCTGGCCACACACTTTACCTTGTCAGCAGACTCCCTGCCGACACCCGATGATCTTCGCATGAAATCACGCGAATATCTGCTCATAGAGCCAAGGCCTCAAAATTGTTACAACAATTACGGCAACTACAGCGGAATGAACACCGGCACAAGTTCTTGTTGGTATAAACCTCGTGACGACATGAACAAAAGGAAGTCATGCGCTAATTGTGGTTCGCTGGACCATCACGAGTTAGCCTGTTCCACTTAAAAAGAAAACATGAAAGCGATTAGTTACTTTCTTGACGATATTGACGCAACCGACGAGGACCACGAAGATCATGTGAGGGAACTCATAATGAAGTATGGATCGAGGTGCTTCTTTTGTAATCTGAAAGGACATTTCAAATCAGACTGAAATCAGTTCTGGGATGCAGTGGCAGGCGCGAAGCATCATCGCCATGAAGAGGCGCTATCAGGAGTCAAGGCTGGTAGAGCACGCCTAAACCACTCCTGCCTGAGATAGAGCACCTAAAAGGTAAAATGTTTGGTATGGAACTGGACTCTCTGAGAGCAGTGTTGAATCGGAACGCAGACGTTTTTTCGATCAGTGAAGCTGACATAGGTTGCTGCAGTTTTGTAGAACATGAAATAGAGATAGATGAGGGGTCGATGAATCACAGGGAGGGAGTTAGGAGAATGACCCCACACATAATTGAACGGTCGAAGTCCCCATGGGCTTGCAGCGTGGTCATGGCAAAAAAAAACAAAAGGAGGCAACTTAGGTTTTGGTTGTGAATTCCGCTACCTGAATGCGGTAACGATAAAGGATGCATACCAATTCCCTGCATAGACGAGAGCCTCTCCAAGTTAGGAGATGCAGAACTCTTCACGGC